CATCCATCTATCCATCCACCCATCCATCCATCTATCCATCCACCCATCCATCCATCTATCCATCCACCCATCCATCCATCTATCCATCCACCCATCCATCCATCTATCCATCCACCCATCCATCCATCTATCCATCCACCCATCCATCCATCTATCCATCCACCCATCCATCCATCTATCCATCCACCCATCCATCCATCTATCCATCCACCCATCCATCCATCTATCCATCCACCCATCCATCCATCTATCCATCCACCCATCCATCCATCCATCCATCCACTCATCCACCCATCCATCCATCCACCCATCCATCCATTCATTCCTTCATCCACACCCTGGGTTAGAGCCTGAAAATACAGAGCAGATTCCCATCCATCGTATATCTGTAAGGACATGCAAGAGATAAGACATCTTTCCGTACCCTTTGCTTGTATCTCAAATGACAAGTCTGCCTGTCTCATTTCTTAGCACCATGTTTCACAGCAAAAATTATTAGAAATAATTTCTGTGGAAATTCCATCCAGAGAGCCCAGGTGGCCCCAGATGTCACCAACTGTGCACACACATACATTATAGCTTGTGGGCCACTGTCCCACCTCTTAGTGATTTGAGCTGCTCGCGTGTGCCTGGTGTTCCGGGTGCAGCACTTATCTCTCGGACTCCCCCACAGCGCCACTAGGTGAGTGTCAGTGCCCCAGTGTACAGGCAAGGGACCTGGGCTCGTGAGCTTGTCAAGGCTACACAGCTAGTGGGTGGAGGTGCTGGGACCTCCCCCACAGTCTGACTCAGAAGCCGGGCTCTTTCTGCCTCCCCCACTCTACTGACTCAACCTTTCCCAGACACTGAGTTTTCCTGGAACGCTTCACGGAACGAAGCCTCACCCGCAGGAATGCGGGCCGTCTGGGAGTGGGGGGCATCTCAGCTCTCAGTGCCCAGCTCTGGGGGCCCTCAGATGGGATTACCCCACGCCCCAAGCCAACACACAGGGGGCTGTGGTGCTGCGGTGCCTGACCAGGATTTGTGACCAAGCCACTCAGGAGCGTCTCATTTGGCAGGTATGAGGTGGGGCTCAGGTGGCCGTGTTTCTATGTGGCTCCCTGGCTGGTTCTGATATTGTCACATCGAGAAACCTCTGTTGCACTTCCCACTGTAAGGTTGTACATAAAAAGGGGCGACATTCTGGGAATCAGAGCCCAGGATATGGGTCTGGAGTGGTGGCACTCCACAGATTTCCATCCCAGACCCCTCCTGTTGGAGGAAGGGTCTGCCTCAGGCTCCTGCTGGGTCTTGCCAGGGGCGGGCTAGTCCAGACAGGCACATTTTCACTGAAAAGGTGACTCAGNTGTTTCTGAGGAATGGTTTGAGCTCAGTCTGCCCTCTTCCCGAGGCGTAGGTATTTATAGGAATTCAGAGGGCCGGAGGGCCCAGCTGATCATCCTGACAGCTGAGGGTGCTTACAAGTCCACAGGCTCATGGGGGTCAGAGGGTTAGGTTAAGAAGGAACCACAGGAGACTCTGCAGATTGTGAAATAACCAAAATACCTGGGCCCTTGACTTCCAGCCCTCTGATTCAGGGTTTGCCAGAGGGCTCTTTAAACTTGTGCCCCGTGGAATTTCTCAGGTGCTTAAAATGGATGACCCCTCATAAGTATGTGCTTTGTGGGGAGGAATGGTAGAGAGTGGGGGGCTTTGGATATAGGCACTGAATTTGAGGGAGACTCAGAGATCTTTCAAATAGAAGACGTTAGTCGCATCAAGTCTGGTCTTCCACACACCTGCTCACCTGTCTTTTCCATCGCCCCCTCCTCCCATCCCACGATCTACTCTCCCACCTACCCACTCATCCATTCATCTCTTTAGCCATTTTCTTCCCAGCCATCCAGCCATCCAGCCACCACATCCATCCATCCATCCACCCACCCACCCACCCA